AGGCTTTCAGAAAGAAATCCAGAGCCAGAAGATGCTGTCACAGAACATGAATGGGACACGGCTTTGTGCTCCTCACTGAGAGCTGAATTTCTCACATCAATTAAATAAAAAAGGAATAAAAAGCCTTGTTAGCACAAGTATTGACATAATTTCTCCAAGTTCTCTATTTGAAGAAGGGAGGTGTCCTTCAAACAGAAGGGCAGACTAAGCAAGAGTGGAAAATAATTTCAAAAGGACAGAGGAAGCTACTCCATCTTCAGGAGTTGAAATGGTGCATAAGATTTTGAGTTTTCCTTGGTAATTATTCAACTGTAACCTTCTCAATGCCTTGTCACTTCTTAATTTATTCTGTATTGTAAACACCTGCAGGCGCAGATGGCTGAGCTATTCTCTAAAGCTTTGGCTATTTTGCACTGCTAAAATGAGGTAGGGCACTGGTGCAATACAGATTAGGTTTGTTGTGGAGATCTGATGGAATATTCACACTTCTACATTTTTGCAGTTCCTTTGAGTCTGTCCCAGCAAACTGGCTTAGGATCCTTCAGCACCCTCCTTCCCTTAGGTAATACCTTCTGGTGATTGAGTTATTTGTTGTTAATCTTTTATTTTAGTTACTTTTTTTTTACCCCTGATTTGGGGTAGCAATATTTCTTTGGGCCAGATTTTGTTTTCTGTGCTTTCATAATTTCAGGCAAGGCAGCAGGATTCTGATTCTTATTATATCCCTGCCCTTTGTTATGGAATCATGGAATCAGGGGATGGTTTGGGTTGCAAGTGACCTTGCAGCTTATCCAGTACCATCCCAGACAGGGACATCTTCCAGTATCCCAGGTTGCTCCAAGCCCCATCCAACCTGACCTTGGTCACTTCCAGGGATCCAGGGGCAGCCATACCTGCTCTGGGCACCCTGTGCCAGGGCGTCCCCACCCTCACGGGGAACAATTCCTTCCCAATATCCCATCTGACCATGCCCTCTGGCAGCAGGAAGCCATTCACCCTGTCCTGTCACTCCTGATGAATTGTCCCTCCCTGGCTTCTCTGAAGGCTTCTTCTCCTTCATGTTCTGGAAGGTTCTGTGAGGTCTCCACATAACCTTCTCTTCTCCAGGCTGAACATTCCCATCTTTCCCATCCCAGTTCCATAAAGGAGGTACTCCTGCCCCCTCAGCAACTCCATGGTCTGCTCTGAACTTGCTCCAGCAGTTCCATGTCCTTGTGTCTGGGTCACAAGAACTGGACACAGTGCTCCAGGTGGGGTCTCACCAGGGTGGAGCAGAGGGGGAGAATCTGAAGTTCCATCTTAGTAAACAATGTTTAATTGATCTGTTGCATTTTCTGATAAGTAAAATGAGGGGGAAAAATCAATTCCCATCATTTGCTGCAAGCAGTCCTTGGAGGCTGTGACCTGAATTCCAGCAGAGCCAGGCAGGATGGACTTGGATCTTGACTAGTGATGGACATGGCTGCAGCATGGAGAACAACATTGATTTCTGTTTCCTTTATCACTGTGCTCATCACAATCAAATCCCTCTCCATGCACCAAGGGCAGAGGAAAAAAGGGATTAAAAGTCACTTCTGACCTCCACCAGTCAAATACCTGAATTCCTTAAGAATACTCATTCTGTCCTAGTGGGTAGCCACCCACTGGGAAATTTTCCCTGTACATGAATTAAAAAGAATGGAAAATTTATTACAACAAAAAAAATTGGAACAAAATCGTATTTTCAGAAAAAATAAGATGTTGTGGGTTTTGCATAACATATTTACATTATTTTTATTAAATCACTCAAAACTAGCTGATGGTTTACAAAGCCACTGAAAATAACATCTTTAATACACAGTAGCCATCTAAGAATAAAGAAAAAACCCTATTTTTTTCACAGATTAGAAGTATGTTGTGTTTATTATGCTGATTTGGGGATTGGAGACAGCAAATTGAAGTATCATTTTTCCAGTTCATTAGGATTTGACTTTTGACTACTGCTCTGCAATTGATTAGTTTAATTATGCAGATACAAAATGTTCTGAAGGCCATGAACATGGCCACATTCTACCTATGATAAAATGTGCTGTTGGTAAATGATAATGAGAGTTTTTCTAGAGAGGGAACTGCTCCATTTGGCTGTGAGTCCGAAATCCACCATCTCTTGTCAATACAAGCCATCGTGGTGTCCTGTAATTAATACATGGAGCATACATGTTCTTTGAGTGATGGAAATTGCATCTAAAGTGACAATTAGCCTCCACCACAGAGCAAGACTTTCACACTCCATTAACAATAAAATTAGGAATAGCATTTTCTCAGCATAATCCATGGTCATTATAAAGCCATCCATGGGGATCAAGAATTGTGGTTGTTATTGAAATGTATCATTATAACAAGGGTAATGATTGCAGTATTCATCCAGCTGTAGTCATCAGTTGCTCTTTTTTGCTCTGATTTGGGTAGGAAAAATCTGCAATTAAAAAGCACATAGTCACAGAAAGTCACTGCAATTATTTTTGTGCCACTTCTGTGCTTTAGAACTTCATTTTCCAGAAAATTCAAGAAAGAGGCAGAATAAACATTATTTGGTTTTCTAAAATAAATAAATGACAATTCAAATTCTATGTAAGTTGATAGGATCCAGCATGTGTACCTAGATATTAAACGACACTATGTAAACATTTGACTAATTGTCATCTCTCTTTCCCTTTCCTTGCACTCCTGATTCTCAGAAGATGACTCATGTAATGACATCACTGTTTTCTGTAGGTCCCCTTAAGTCACTGGAAGGTCACAATTAAGTCACACCTTCAGGCTGAACCATTTCAATTCTACTTTCATCACAGCAGAGCTGCTCCATTCCTCTGGATTATCTTGGTGCCTCCTCTCGACTTGCTCCAACAGATCCATGTCTTTTCTGTGTTGGTGCCCCCAGCTCTGAGGTCCCCAGCTCTTTTTCCGCTGTTTCTTTTGACCAGTCCCCTTCAAGTTTGATAGTTTCCATTTAATTGTCCAAATCCTCTTAAACCCAGCAGTTCCTTTCATTTTACACCATTAACCTTAAACTGATGGCTCACAAATCTGTCTCCAGATGGGATATCTTTGACATGGAGGAAAGCCCAGTTCAGGTCACCAAAATTTTTTTTTTTCTCCATACCTTAATCATTTAAAAGATGTTCAAACTGAACACCAGTTGTTAACCCTCTAGAGTCTGACTGTAGGTCCTTATTCAGGAAAAATAATTGCATTTAATTTCAAACTTAAATTTCTTGGATGTCAGTCAAGTGTGAGTGCACTGGCTGTGCACAGGTGTTTTCACAAGATTTCAAGTGTCCTGTGCCTTTCTGCTTCTTCCTCTTTGCTCTACAAAATCCCTTTCCCGGTCTCCAAAACAACCTGCCTGTGAGTTGCTGAACTCTCCTGCCTCAGTGAATGCATCCTGGAAAGGCATTTTGCCAATTTTGTGTAGTTACACCAACCAGCACTGGGTGAAACTGGTTTTGTTGACACAACATCTGGGGTGTGTGCATAACAGGGACATGTTAGTGAGATTTCATCTCTTGCCATACAATTAATAGCCTTGAACATATGCTTAATGGGGACATTTCCAACAACCTTTGCTGGATAACAGGGGTGTTTAAAGAATGTTCCTTTCTGCCTGCATTCAGCTGAGGTGCAAGTGCACGTCTGAGAGGTCAGGTCTGGTGGTAAATGTTTCACTTGTGTTTTATGGCTGTGTTTGCTGATGTTTCCTGGAAAACAGGAAATTAGGAGAGGCAGCAAAATCCAGAATACATTTAATTCCTCCCATCTAAACCAAATAAATTCAGACTGCAAATCAGGCATACATTTGTGTATTTCTAGTAGCAGAGCAGTCACATAGCAAAAGTAATGCCATTTCCCCCGCTGCTGTCAGGGCTTTTAGATTTTGTTGGAGAAAATTCCTGAAAAGTATAATCTAGGCAAAAACCGGGAAACTCTTTTTGTACAGAAAGTCATGCTAGTTGATTGCCCCTGTTCTTTCTGGCCTGACTGGTTTTAAATGGATTTACTTTATGCTAATAGGGATCTTGGGACCTTTACTTCTCTCAAGCCTATAAGACATATAGGATGAGCCCTGGAGCCAAAGTTTGTGACTCCCCTACAACATTGAAATTCAGTGCAACAAAATAGTGGGGTTTTTTGTTGTTCCCAGTGAAATAAGTAGAAGGAGATAATGTTATATTTTGGGGCAGTTCAAAATGTTTTGAAATGTTGGTTTTCCTGCAGCTATAACCATATTAACCACTTTAACAATATTTTTCCATTTAGATGTATTTTTAGATGAACCACAGTTAATTTTTTTATATTTCAGAATGAAATAAACTTCTATTTTAATAATTAGACACCAATCTCTTTCCTTTCCTTGCTTATTTATTGAAATCTGTTAGGGCTCCTATTTATTGCAAATAACTAAAAATAAAACAGTTCTGCTCACAGCTTAAAATGTACAGCTTTTTAAGAGACAATTTTTTTTTCTCATTGTCTGCTTTGGCTGGGTGGAGTGGTAAGGAAAGTTTACCTACACCAATTATTCCTTATTGTTTTATAGAAACTTAATTAGTCTTTCAATGGCTTCAGTATGTGACAGCCAGGGAGTTGTTGTTGTATTACAAGTGAGATTTTTTTCCTTTGAATAATGCAATATAAAATAGAAACTGTGGAGTATTTATCCTGTGCTCCCTGCCCAGGTTTCCTCTGCTCATAACCAAGCTGAGCTTTTCCATCTGACAATATTTACAAAGTAAAAATCTATTTCAGTCAGTAAACGATATTGCTGCTAATAGCTTGGACTGCAATCCCATAAAGAGCTTAAGCATATGGATAATATCTGCTGGAGTTAATTGAGCTGCTGGCATCATTGGAATGACAGACACACAAAGACCTGGGAGCAGGAGCTTGGCAAGCTCCTCTAAGTTGTGTTGGGGTGTGAGATGCCCCTGGAATGGGATCTGGGGACCATATCCCTCACTCACCACATGACGCTGGGCTTCAAGATCCCTCTTTTGGGATGATCCAGCCTGACATGGTTCACTTCTCATGGAGAATCATTAAATTATTAAAATTGTTCACTCTTGTAGTCTGGTAGGGCCCTCATGGGCACCCCTGTGGACATCCTCAAGCTTCAAGTCATGGTGAGCCTTAGGGAAGAGGGAAGCTCAGGTCACCGCCTGGCATCACTGCTACTATCATTTCTCAAAGCTGATACCTTTTACTTTAGGTGGAAAAAGCAGAATAGTCAGTAAACAGGGAGAATATGTTGGGAACCACTTTTGTAACTGTTTTTTAAGCTCTATCTTAGGCAAATCAAGCTGTGTTTGAGCAGGCCAGTTCTGGCCATGCAAATGGGGCTCCAGGGTGTTGCTGAGGTGGGTGGTGGGCCAAGCCCAGCACGTGTGGAATGGGAAAGGCCTGGAACGTGTTGGTCTTATTTGGGATGCTCATGAGCATATTGATGGTGACAACAATCCTGAAGGGCCTGGAGCATCTCAGTGGCCAGGAAAGGCTGCGGGAGCTGGGGCTGCTCAGCCTGGAGAGGAGCCCCAGCTGAGAGGGGCCCTCAGGCCTGGCTGGCCCTGGCTGCAGGGAGGGGCAGAGCAGGGCCCGGGCTCTGCTCCGGGGCCCAGCAATGGCACCAGAGCCACGGGCAGGGCCTGAGCCCAGCAATTCCCCTGCCCAGGGGGCAGAGCTTCTGCCCTGGGCACTGCCCAGCCCTGAGCAGATTGTCCAGAGAGCCTGGGGAGTCTCCTCCCTGGGGATATTCCAGAGCCCTCTGGACACACTCCTGGGCCCTGGGCTCTGGGATGGCCCTGCTGGAGCGGGGAGGTGGCACCACATGAGCCACTCTGGGCCCTTCCAACCTTACTCATCTTGGGGTTCTATGATTCTCTTCCAGCAGAGTGTTGAGGTCCAGGTTTTGAAAGTTATCCTTTCAGAATTATTTATTTATTTCATAGAGAGAAGAAAAGAGCACCCTTGTTTATAGTAACTACCTCATTCATCAGAGCCAAAATGGTTTGATTTTTCAGGACAGAAATGGGAGTTAGGCACATTCCATTGCCAGGATGAGAATTTGTTTGCTCTTTAGAGGTTCAGTTCTGAAAAGCTTCCCAGTGTGTTTTACAGAATCTGTATGAATCACCACACTTGTGTGAGATCAGTGGATTTGAGCTGATATGGGACCTACTAGAACAAGATGAGAGCTGTCCATTCCTTAGGAATTGGTAGAATCATGGAACCCCTGAATGTTTTGGGTTGGAAGGCACCTCAAAGCCCATCCAGTGCCATCCCCTGCTGTGGGCAGGGACACCTTCCACTATCCTAGGTTGCTTCAAGCCCCATCCAACCTGACCTTGGATACTCCCAGGGATCCAGGGGCAGCCACTGCTTAAGTATCACTTTATTTGGACCACTTGTCTTTAGTGGCTGTAATAAGAGGAAGACCAGCAAATTAAATTTTGCTAGTCACTAGCCATGGCTTCCTACACACTCCTAGAGTGTCTGGAAAAAGCACTCCGCAATAGGTTCAGGAATGGCACATCCCGAGTAAGTGAAGCTGACTCCGCAATAGGTTCAGGAATGGCACATCCCGAGTAAGTGAAGCTGACAGAATGAACATGGCTCTGCCCACTTAGAAGTGATGAGTGTGATGTTGAATAACACCCAGAGAGGTGTGTGGTGGGGCATGAAGCTGATGCTATATTCGGGGATGGAGATCATACTCACTCATCAGGTAAACTTCTGCATCGGGACATCAGGTAAACTTCTGCATCGGGACATTACCTCCAAGTAGGAGATTTATTCCACTGGTTTAACTTTCCTGCCCTATCAGAAGTTCTCTTTATCGTCCCAGTATATCACCTTGGCATTTGCCTTGACTAAACTCTGCTCTCACTGCTGTTTTTTAGTGTGTCTGCAAATCTGTCTTTGCCCCTGCTATGTCTCCCAAGTCACAACTATAGTGCTTAATAAAAGGTACAGTGAAGTCATCTTCAGTATCCTTAGTTCTCAAATATTCAGAATTAAAGTCTTGTCCAGAACTGTGGTGTAAACAGGAGTAATTCTATGTCAGCTAATGAAAGCAGACCTGTGGAAAAAGGGGCTCTGCCTCTGATCCATCCTGCTGGGTATGGATTATGTATCACAGCAATCTCCTACTACAGCAGCAAATACAGTCCACCGTGTAATGAACCCAAGCACAGAGGTTCACATTAAAGACATTTTTCAGTCATTTAATTGAATTTGAAAATGTCACAGTAATTCAGGCTCTACTTCACTTACACCTGTACAAATCTGTTTATGGCGGCTTGATGTAATTTTGTCCACTATAAACTGGCTTAAATGACCCAAAAAGGGGATTTGTTTTCCCTTTCAATTCCCTGAAAGAAGTTAATAAAGCAACTTCTCTGTGTTGTTTTTGCATCAGGCAAAATCTTCACTGCATTTTTCCCTATTTAGTTGTTAATTTACCCCAGTATGAAGGAGTGTGATGTCATGGCCATTAATAAATGACATAAAAAAGACTTTTAATGTGTTTTGGGAACATTTTTTTTGCCGATTTTCATTCTGGACCCATTTGTGAAAATGCAGGTAACCTAAAGGATTCACAGGCAAGGGACTGATTCAAGGGGATGTGTCTAAGTTTTGATTTAAGTTCATATTTAGGACAGAAGGATGGAGTGAGACTTTTATGGCATTTTTTGTGATTCAAAAGGATGTCTTCTTGAAAGCTGGACAAAGCAGCAGTTCATAGTTGAGACTGACCTCAGAAGTTGGGGTTTTTAAGAGACCCACTTTGGGAATAAATGAGTTGAATGCTCTATTGATTATTTTGCATAAACCTCCCATGGCCTCTCTTTTCCCACCTTCTGCTGGCACAGTTGGCCTAAATAAACACAAACACCTTCCATGTGGCTTCATGACTGCAGCACACTGACAGTATTTCTGTTTAACTCCTCCTCTTCCTTCTTTTTTGGTTTTCCCTTCCTTTCCTAAAACCAACTCAAAGGTGGAACATGTTTCCTGATCTCTGTCAAACATGTATTTGTTGTCAAAAACCCCAGTAGTGGAATGTTCTGTGCCACTTCCACCCCTTATCTATGGACTCAGCAGGAACAGCCAGTGCAGGAGGTCCAACAGCTTCCCATTGTTTTCCTGAAGGCTCTACCAAAGTCACTTCAATTACATGCAGCAACTTCTTCACTGGAAAAAATGTCTGCAAAAATTCTGTGACCCATGTAGAACATCAAGTCCAAACATATTTGGACATATTACTAATATTTTTTCTAAAGATAGAGTAAGATAAGAAGAAAAGTTTTGTGGTTTTTGTGTCCAGCCCACAAAATTAGCCTGGACCCTGCTCTGCCCCTCCCTGCAGCCAGGGCCAGCCAGGCCTGAGGGCCCCTCTCAGCTGGGGCTCCTCTCCAGGCTGAGCAGCCCCAGCTCCCGCAGCCTTTCCTGGGCACTGAGATGCTCCAGGCCCTTCCTCAGCTGCGCAGCCTCCGCTGGCCCCGCTCCAGGAGCTCCCTGGCCCTGCTGTGCTGAGGATCCAGAGCTGGACACAGCACCCCAGAGCTGCCTCCAGAGCTGGACACAGGGGTAGGATCCCTTCCTGACCAGTTGGGAATGCTCTCCCCAGGATCCCATTGGTCCCTTACCCACCAGGGCAACCCTGGGAAAATTTGGTTTGGTATGGTAAAAGGGAAATTGAAGTACTAAGGCTGAAACAAAATGATAAAGAAGCCTTGTATCAGAATATTGTTACCAAAATAAAATGGGAGGTGCAAAATTAAATCCATGGATGGCCCCCGTTTTTAAATTTCACCAAACCCAGTCTAATTCAGATTTGTCATTGTTTCTGACAGACACTTTCTGTCAGCCATTCTAATGGTAACAACATTTTCCTGTGGAGAATTTTGACTTTTTCTAGACCAGGCAAGGTCATTAAATCATTTTTTTAAAAGCCTAAGATATGCTGAACATTGATAGATGTTTGTTTATGAGCACTAAAAAAACAGTGCACTGTAAATGAGTTCCTATTGGTAGCAAATGAACTCTTTCATGATTATTAATGAAGTCTGGAGTTGCTATTGCTGTCTAATTATACCAAATGTATTTCTCAAGGTTCAGGGATCTACATAAATCAATAGAAGAACTGAAGTGAAAGCAGTTAATACACTGCTTGATTGGACCTTACTGATGGTTATTAGATACTTGGGTTTTTTCTGGTTTAATTTTCTCAGTAGCTTGAGGAGTCTTTTTGTTCCAAGGCACTTTTGAAGAGCTGGTATTTTTTGGTAACCTACCTGGAAGTTATTTTTGCACTGTCAATGCAGTAACCACGAACTCTCCCCATATAATTGCTGTGGGGTTATGGAATTTTCCCTGCAGTGAGTGTTAATTATTCTGTGCTAATTAAGCAACTGATGCCTACTGTGAAAAATTCTCCCTTTGGAACAATGTGAGCAAAGGTGCATACATAAATTTCATAACATATGCATAAAAGCATCCTTTTTTATCTCTTGTACTAATTTCATGTCCCCATGTTGGGGCGGCAGCATGAATAAATATAACTCCTATAGCTGTATACAGAGTGCTCCAAAGACATCATATTCATATTTTCTCATAAAAAAAAAAAATAGCAGCATGGTATTTTTGGGCGTGTTGGATCCTCCCTTCAGTGCAAAGACTGTCACCTATTAAGAAGTTAGATTAAAAATGAGATGCTTAATTATACTTGAGTTAAAAGGAGGCTTGTTGTGCCTTACTGGAAAATAATCCCAGGCTGGTTTGGGTTGGAAGGAACCTTAAAATCCATCCAGTGTCACCCCCCTGCCATGGGCAGAAACACCTTCCACTGTCCCAGGTTGTTCCAAGGCCATCCAACCTGGCCTTGGATATTTTTATAATTTCAATGACATTGAAAAGGGAGCAGAGAAAGGGCAGAGGGAGAAGAAATTGAAGACAGAGGTTTTCTTCTGGAAAGTGCATCATCCCTTAGGCTGTTGAATTTATAGGACAGAGCGTTGCAAGAACTGGCAAGATTATAATTGGTGATGTGGAATCATTCTCAGACCACTCCAGTGGTGGGCAGGCAGTAGGAAGGAGGAAATTTGAAGACAAAATTAATGCATAAAAATGCCCAGGGAAGTAATTTCTGATCTAAATAAGTAAAACCTCTTTTATTCTACCTGAAACTAAATAGATTTTTTTGATAGCTGTGCTAGAAGTGAAATATATTCTCTGAGAAAACTTTCACTGGATTAAAACCTAAGCTTTTTTTTTTCCTGAAAGAAGAGTCAGTATAAAAAACAAATCAGCATTAGTTGCTTCCACTGGTGGTTTGGAAAGGGAAGGTTTCTGCCTCTCAGCTGAAACACTGCACTGGTGCTTACGATGGGTACTGAGCTAAATGGATGGATAATTGGATAATTACATCATTAATGGAGCTCTGGGAAAACTGCTCCAGGTCCCTCCTCTGCTCCAGACTCCAACTGTGTCTGCTCCGTCAGGTGGAGGTGGCTAAGCCACACCAGGGATTGTGTTGGCTGTCACTGCTCTGCTGCTTTTGGAACACACAAAGTGC